TGTTGTAGATGGTGTGTAGTTAACTGGTTAATTCATAACTCTCTGGTGTTCACAACTCTGAGGTTCTACTGTATTTCCAATCTGACTTTGCGTAGGTTTTATATTGACTATGGACTAAATCAGTGCTGCCATGATCACTGCAATGGGCATGGATTTGGCAGGTCTCATGAAGATGCAATAGGAGAACTCCACTGTCAACTGTGTGGGAGGCAGCAAAGTGGGAAAGGGCAGCTCTGTGTAGCTGACCCACTCAGAGAACCGGTTTAAAAGCATATTGGCTCCCTTCCCCCGCACTGCTGCCTTTGATAGCGAGGCAGCCGGGGGAGGAGGGGAAGGCGCCTCCACGTGAACCTATACATGCAGAGAGGTGGCTTGAAAGCTGGCTTCCCATGTGTACCGGCTCTCACCTGCCCCCCCTTACCCTCCGCACTACTGCCTCTCCACAGGAACCAGCACTTGCAAGGTTTGGTTTATCAACAGTACTCATGAGTTTATGCTGCTAGTGTTAATAGCAGCTCAGGAAGGAGTCTGTCTACCCTCTTCTGGTGACATCTTTATCCAAGCCTCATCTGGAGTCCACCAATAGGCATGATGCAGAGCCACAATTTTGTGAAAGATTTAGTTAATAGTCTCAAGCTATTCCCAGTGTCTGGTTGCCAGATGGTTTCACCAGAAATACTGAACACCGGTGATGCAACACCAAATACCGGTGTTGCATCAATTGTTAATTCTGACCTTAGCATGTGGTTATTTTTAACCATGTGCTCAAATCTGATTGACTTCATTGGAACTTAAATATGCGCTTAAATGTCCTGAATAGGAAAGATTTCCTATATTGGAGCCCTGAAGTCTGCGTACACTTTTGTCAGTGATTTCAGGTTTGTGTTTTTTCTCTCTCTCTGCCTCTGTCTGTGTGTCTCTCTCTCTCTCGCTTTTTTCGAATTCTGATAACACTTAAAACTTGATATGTTGTAGTCATTAGGGGCTTTTTAAAGATGTATTTATGCACAGCAGCCACATTTCCATTATGGGTCTGACTTACTCAGTGGCTGTCAGAAAAATTCTTCAGTGGGAATATTTCATTGATATTGTATCATATTTTATGGCCAAAGATATTGTTAATGATGCCATCTGAAATTCAGTTTGTGTGTATTGGGGGTTTAAATGTGGAGTGATAAATTTCCGTCCTCTAGGATATTGCATTTAGTCTACACAGCAAAACAAATCCTTCTGTTGCTACTCATCCATGGCTCCCAAAACAGCTTATGCGCTTTTGGGTAGTAGGGTTTACACACCAGGGGCAGCTTGAAACTTACTAGCAACATGGAATCCTAATTAAATTGTTTTGGTACTGCTATGAAAATGAACAGGAACATAATCAGGATTGTGCACTCACCTATCAGAGCAAGGGTAACGAGAAGGACTGAATGGAAGAAACACCAGGTTTCAGGGTGAAAAGTTTTTATCTCATTCACAATATTGCAGTGTTATAGACAGACGAGCCCACTTGGACAGGCCCCAACTTTGGTTGGGTGGGTGGGCAATGGTGGGGCCAATAAGCTCCAGTGCCTGGACCTGCCTCCAGCCAGAGTGTCAGCTGAGTGCCAGGAAGAGTGAGGTCAGCCCCAGGGCGCTGGGAGAGCAGGGTCAGCCTTGGCCCTGCTTCCTGGGCTGGAGCGTTGGCAGTGCGGGGTCAGCCCCTGCGCCTGGCCTTCATGAGTGGGTGAGCATCTGCTGTAGAGTAAGTGGAACGGAACCAAGCCAGTGTCTCAAATACAGAAATACTTCTCATAAATTCCACAACCATCTTATTCGCATAGGACCATATTGTTTGAATTTCTTGCTTTGTCTGAGAGAGAAATAATGGTCCTAGAAGTCAAAAATCCCAAAACTTGTCACTTTCACTATTCAAAGAAACTGCATCTGATCCAATATAAAAGAGGGACTGTTCCATATAATATTGGAAGTACAGTGGTTTAATCATGGAGATGAGATATATATTCATTTCCCCCCATCCCTTTCTATAACAGTAATTAATGACATATCTTAAATGGGATATACAGGATGGTGTTCATCTTTTCAGATATGAAAGTTCAGCATCACATGCTAATCTGTTAGCCCAATAATTATTAGATGTTGCTGTCTAGTATTTCAATTACAATCTCCTTCAACTGACCACTAGGCGAAAACTACCCATTTCCATAAACATATGATTTTATGTTTATATTGTCATACCCATCCCTTCCTGTATTACCCCCATGCTGCTAATCTCAGTCATCTAAAATAACATAAATATGTACTGCTACTTATCATTGCTGTTTAAATGTTATACTTTTAAATTTCAACTTTAATTAAAGATACACCCACTTTGTTCTGACTTTGCTACACCCTCTTGTTTTATTTTTTCTTTAATTAGAATGTAGGCCAGGCCTGCACAACATACGGCCTGTGGGTCGCATGCGGCCCGGAGGGGTTCACTGTGTGGCCCATGACGACTTTAGGAAGCAGTGGCAATTTAAAGGGCTGGGGCTCTGGCTGCAACCACTACAGCAGACCTGCACAACATATGGCCCACGGGGCCGCGTGCGGCCTGAAGGGGCTCACTGTGCGGCCCATGACGACTTTCGGAAATAATATTTCCTCCCTCCTCTCTTCCACTCTCCTCTACTCCTCTTTTGAATGTGGCGCTCTCTTGTGCCGGCGCCTCTTCCCCTGACGTCAGGGACACACGCATGCTCTGGCTCCTCCCTACACCTGTGTGCGGCCCCGCCCCTGCTTCTAGCTCCCATCCCAGGATGTGGCCCCCCTGCATGCCGCTCGGCTGGGCGGCTGCTTGCATGGTGCAGACCGCTGTCAGAACGCGAATTAGAATGTAGGCCAGGCAGCACGGGGGTCGGTGCTGTTGGAGTGCGGGGCGAGTTGCCCTCGCTGCCACGGGGCGGTCTTGCCCCATGGCAGCTCGCCAGCTGGTAAAATCTATGTCCCGTCAATATTATAACTTGTATCAGAGGGAACAAATTTTGCGCTGAGAGATATTTCTTCTCTTTGTGTGTGACTGTCTTTTTCCCTTGTGTGTGAATTTATTTAACAAAATCTTGAGATTTCAACAAAATCTGTGGTTGCGTGCTGAAGCCGGGCGGTGTGGGGCTTTTTTGTATTCCCGCCAAAAATGTTTAGCCCGCTTGTTCGGTATTTTTTGGGAGAGCATCTGGCAACCCTACTTGCGGCCCACAGCTGTTCTCTTTGGAATAATATGGCCCTCGCTGCTTTCCAATTGTACAGGTCTGTTGTAGGCTCTTTGGGCAGAGGTCATTTGTACTCCGTACAGTGCTGTCAGGATGGAAACTTGCTTCTGATTGGGTCTCTTATGTGCTGTGAGGAATGCAAGTACAGTAATAACAATAATTTACCTTTATAGGAATAAGGCATTTTTAAAACTCCACCCATCATGAAAAAAGTTTCCTACTCTGCAAGGTGTATTCTATTCACCAACACTGAGTTCCCAACAACAGAAAAAGCCAAACAAAAACCTCCCTTTGTGGAAGGCAGAATTTTAAGCTTCTAGAATTGTTTGTTCTTTCAGGCATCTTAATGCATAGCAGTTACAATGAGTTGAGATTAGGTTGGAGCAGTACAGGGATGTTAGTAGCACAGTAAATTCTATGTGAGAGCCTGGTTTGACAGATCGTGGTCAGCATTAGAGATGAGTTTTCAATTCCTTTCAGAAGATGATATGGAGAAGCTAGATTATTGGGAGTGAGTTCACTGATCATATAGATATTTAGCACAAATAATTGACCACTGACAGAGGAGAGCAGATAGGTCTAGAAATGACGAAGGAAAAGGTAGAGTGTATGTAGGACTGAGGGTGATGGGAGCGCACAGATGGGGGTGGATTGGAATCATGCCGATGACAGGAACTTATTGCTCCAGCCCTGAAAGGAACTACTAAGACTGTCAGCCCACGTGCGGGTGCAGCAGTATAATGCAGTATTTGGAACAGACTGGATTTTGAGATGCTCAAGTAAGCAAAGTCAGAAAGGAGGAAACAGCAATAACTATAAGCGTGCAAATGAATAACAGATTCAGCAGACTGCCAGTGTGGAGGCAGCTGAGGGCTGCATTGGGAAAGTGATAGCAGACATTCAGAAATAGACTTTGAGTGCAACCATTTTAGGGAAAACGGGAGTTCTGAGTTAGGATAAGTCCATGATTAAACTTGAGAAATGAGGGGAGGTTTGTGTCTTGAGGGGAGGTTGATGGACTGGCCATGGAATGAGTAGGGGAGTTCCCCTCTTGTTCACACTCAGCTGAATAAAATGAAGGTGAATAGGGATTGATATGTTCAGTTCAGGTGGAGATGGAGTCAAGGGGGGAGGGAGTAATTTAAGGTTTTAAAAAAAAAAGGTTGGGTGTAGGGATATAAAATTCCATTTAATTATTTAACCTGTTAAATGTTACGTTTAGCTGGTTAAACAATTAAGCGGGATCCCGCAGGTGAGTGGCTGCTCCAGCACGGCTGGAGCAGACCCCAATCCACAGGGCTGCTGCTCTTAGCTCCACCGGCTTCATGGGGTTGCCACCTACCAGCCCACTCCACCCCACAGTGGGCCAGGTGGGGCTGAAGCACCCTTCTGCCAGTGACCGGCCACAAGCAGGGGGCTGCTCCCAGGCGCCAGTTAACAGGTTACCCTGGTAAGGGTGATGCGTACTGTGTAACTGGTTAATCAGTTAACCATTCATATCCCTAGTTGGGTGTCACCAAATTTACAATCGTAGTTGATAATTATTGGTGGTTGTTTTCTTAATGGCGCTTGTACTTGGATGAAACGTGTAGCAAGGTAAATTCATGACATGAAATAGAATTGATGAATGATGGTTACATAATAGCTGGGGGAAGGCGTGATATTGGATATCACTTTGATGTCTGTCAACAATATTTAATAACACAGTAAGTATGCCTTTGATTATATTTATTCTCTTTGTATTTCAAACATTAGGTTTATCCTGAATTACAAATTACCAATGTTGTGGAAGCCAACCAGCCTGTGACCATCCAAAACTGGTGCAAGAGGGGACGGAAGCAGTGCAAGAGTCACCCTCACATTGTGGTTCCCTACAGGTGCTTGGGTGAGTTGTGTAGAATTTAACATCTCTAGTTCTGTTTTCTCTCCATTTATCTCTTTGTACATGGTTCATTTAAAACTCTCTCTTCACTGGGAAAGGGGAAGGACTCTATAATATTCTTACATCTTCATATTTCTGCTGGCGGATGTTGTCCATTTCAGCAATCCTTTAGAAAATTGAAATTTTGGGGCTGCCTGTAGACAGATACATACACACTTGGAGATGAGATTCTTTTCTTATAAATGTATCCATTTTCTGGTTAGGTGTACTTGTGTAATTTTTTTTGTATATACTTATACAGGTGTAGCTTTTTGATCTTGTGCTAAATTTTGCACCATTGAAGCCAGTGAGAACATGACATCCCTAAGAAAGGTCATGCATGCTTAGGCTGTAAGATTCTGGAGTCCTGTGTTTCCTTACCTTCCAGTAAAGCAGACCTCCAGCATTTCTGCAAGATTCTTTTCACAGCAGTAGTCTTCTATTCCTTTCTGTGACCATCTTGCTGTCAAACAGCATGCTGGCTAGTAGTGGTGCTGAGATAAGTGCTCGGTTTTAATAAGCTTTTTACAAAAGCGGGATGGAGAGAAACAAAGCTATGTTGATTCTTGAGATAGCAGCCTCTAATTTTTCAAAAATTCCTCAACCCTTTGCTATAAAATAAAAAGGCTTTGAAATAATATTAGGAAACTGATGTTAAGGACTATGGTGATGTGGGTTGGGTGTTTTATAATTTACATTCAACTTCCAATTGGAATTTCCCATTGTATAAAGCCAGTTCTGCTAAAACTTATTGTATGAACCTTAGTCTCCAAAGCCGCTATGATCAGCTGAATTTTGATCAGTTATTTGGTGAAGAGAATGATGGCAGAAGGGTTGTAATCCTGCAATCCTTTATTTTTAATGTCAGGAGGCAGAAAGAGGTACTGTAGGCGAAGCTTTTCTATTACTTTTCTGATGTCAAGGTATGGAACAGCTTCTGTATGAACAGGTTTTAAAAAGACTGGGACTGTTCAGCTTAGAAAAGGGATAGCTGAGGGTGAAATGTTGTAGAGGTGTGTATATATAGAATCGAGAATAGTGTGTAAAAACAGGAGTCTGGGTTTGATTGCTTTGACCCAGTGTGGCCATTCTTATTTTCTTATATATTTCTATCTGATTAAACAGTACCTTACATAATGAGCCTAGATCTACATCAGGGCTTTTGAATTCTATTGTTGTAATAATAACTATATTATTATTATTGGGTGCTTCAGGAAAAATCTGGGCTTTAGTCCCATCTTCACTTGTTGTGGATCCTACTTTTCCTTCTGTGGTTTCTGTTCTTCTCAGGTGAAACACCTACATTAAGAGAATAGGCGGTTGAACTCAAGTTGAGAATATATTCAGTTACTTGGCTCCGGTGGTGGTTGTGGCCGTTTCCATTGCAGTCTGCATGATATATGTTACATTGCTCTAATGCTCAGTGTGCTCATTGAAAGCTGTCCAAGTACAAAATTAATGTCCTTTACAACATGTAGGGGAATGTAAAATGCATGAACTGTTTTTCTAAAGTAATAGTAGGAAGACTAGAAGGAGTCATGTTGATGATAACCTGTTTGATCTTTGCTCCTATTTCAGATTTTATGACTTGGGAAATATCTTAACAGAAACAGCACAATTTGAAGAGTGTAGTCAATGGCTTGTTCCACTATTTAGTGGTGTCCAGGGAGCACATGTTCTAATGCTGTCACTGTCAGGCCCTGCATATTTTATATTTTTTTTTCAAATACAGCCACTCCCCAATTTACGGCCACCTGCACTTACAACCATCTGCACTTACGACCAAAGCGGTCATAAATGCGGATCCAAGTTATGAACAGTTCGAATTATGGACCAAGTGTTGGTCCGCAACTCGGAGAGTGGCTGTACGTTAAGGGAAAGCAGCACTCTAAAAGTGATTAACATGGATCATTTGAGATCGGTCCTGCCTAGAGCAGGGGGCTGGACTTGATGACATTCTGAGGTCTCTTCCAGCTCTATGGGTCTATGATTCTATGATCATATGATAGCTTCTAAAAGCATTTTGAACAGCCTTACAACCTTGCCGGGTGAGGAAATGGCTAGAGGACATATTATCACCAGGATTTGCTGGTTTTCCCCACGTGTTCCACAATACAGAAGAAAATGTCAACAAGTTAAGGGCTTCCACAGTGGACACCTACAAACTGTGTAAAGAGCAACTTATTGAACCACAGACGTTGGAGACCGAAAAGAACTGATGGACTATCCAGATGTAGATCTATTTGGTCACTTTTCATATTCACTTGCTGTAGCTGGCCAGAGTACGTCTCAGGTCCGACACTGGGCTCTCAAGGTACAAAATACACCACACAGGAATCTGTCAAACACAAGTGGTTTATTTCCTGACATCTAACAGCTGTGCCCCATAATTGGAAGATCAACATAACAAAGAAGCGGCATATCTTTTGTCCCTTCCTGAAAGCCTGGGACCCCGAGTAGGCTGCGGACGAAGTGGGAGGTTGTCTCAGCTTCCGAGGCACCAGTACCCAAAATCCATCGGTGAGGTCTGGTTTGCTAGGCTCTGAGGCAGCCTTGTTGGCAGTTTGGAAATTTCCAGAGGTTACTCATTAGTGCTGATGTAGGGCTTAGGTATTAGTTATTGATCTGGTTCTGATCTGGATCTTCTTGTTCTTTGGCCCTGTTTACGTGATCAGTACATTAGGGTAAACAGAATTGTTTATGCGTTCTTGCCCTTATCTTATACTTGTTCTTGCTATACTGACTACAATGCTTATCTTAAATGGCGTGTGTTCCCAAAGACTTGCTTCTGGCTCATCAGATAAAGGGAAAGGGGGGAAAGAATGCAGGCCTCATCACCCCTAAACTAGCATGTACAAAGTTCTTCCGCAATTGATCACTACACTTGCATTAATTTAAATATGTGATGATTTAATATAGGGAGAGGTAATCCAATGTACAGAAGGAGTTAAGCAGATGCCATTGAAGAGTAAATAGGAATTAAGCACTATGGTCCAGCTTTTTAAAGGTCTTTAGGAGCTTAACTTCCATTGAAATCAATGTGAGGTAGGTGCCAAAATATCTTTACAAATCTGTACCTTAACTCTTATTTTGCCTTTAAAAATCCTTCTCCATATTTTGTAATTTTCACGTTTTTATTATATTGAGATCTGCTTCTAAAGTGTTAATTGTTCTTCTGTATTGAGGCCAACACGATTGTGAAGAACTGTCATCCAATATGCCTGCTCTCACATGTCTGCAAGCTGTTCACCAAAATAATAACAAACTGACTCTCTCAGAGTCTGGATGACCCACAGCCAAGAAAATAGGCAGGCTTTCAAAGGAATTTTCAGCACAATGGATTATATTTTCGCTATAAACCAGCTATTGGAACACTCATGGGAATACAAGTTCCTATTATGTATTGCCTTTGTAGATTATGAAAAAGTATTCAGCAACGTAGAGCTCTTGTTTAGTGTTGAAAGTTCTTGCAGAGCAGGGCATCAACACAAACTGTATCAGCCTATTAAGGGAAACAAATTGACTGCCCTACAGATGTAACTTTATTTGATACTTTCCTTCAAATCCCATTTAAGAGCGTTATGAAACAAGAAGACACGGTAAGTCACCAAAACTCTTCATAGCCTGCCACGAAATGGTAATTAGGTGGATGAATTGGAAGAGTGGAATCAACATCAGTGGAGAGCAGTTAAACTATTTCAGTGTAGCGGAGGATATGTTGATCACTGAAAATATTATCAACCCACAGGCCACTCCTTTTTTTTTTTCTTTTCCCTTCTCACATTCCTTTCAATTCCTCCTTTTGTTATCAGAGTACTCATTTCTTATGTGCAAGTTCTTTTAAGTTGTATCAGTAACATAAATATTACAGATACCATATGTTAGAGGTTTTATGGGCATAAGCTGTAATGTTTCGAGCATGATCTGAATCGCCTTGAAGTGGAATATGTGAGGACTTGGTTTCAGCTCATTTTAAAACCTATGCTACATGTACTTACTTCTGTTCTGTGCACTCTTATGTCAGATTGCAAAATTATACTTTTAACCACACATTACAGATACTACTACATAATGTAAACAGTCTCTATATGACTTTCTGTTTTGGATCACTTTATGCTGGTTTTACAGCCATGTTGTCGCAGTTCAGTATAGGTTAGATAACATTTTAAAAAAAAGTTTTAAAATTAATTTTTAAGCAAATAGCTTTTCTCTAAAAGCTATTAGGACAAGTTTGAAAATTAAACTTTATGTGCATATGTTTGTTTTCTTATGTATCCACCACCCTGCTTGGCTGCATGTGTGTCAGATGCTAAATTATAGAATCAGGGAATCATAGAACACTAGAACTGGAAGGGACCTCGAGAGGTCATCGAGTCCAGTCCCCTGCCCTCATGGCAGAACCAAGCACCGTCAGATCATCCCTGATAGATGTCTATGTAACCTGCTCTTAAACATCTCCAGAGATGGAGATTCCACAACCTCCCTAGGCAACTTAATCCAGTGTTTAACAGTTAGGAAGTTTTTCCTAATGTCCAACCTAAACCTCTCTTGCTGCAATTTAAGTCCATTGCTTCTTGTCCTATCATCAGAGGCCAAGGGAAACAATTCTCCCCCCTTTTGACACCCTTTTAGATTTGAAAACTGCTATTATGTCCCCTCTCAGTCTTCTCCTTTCCAAACTAAACCAGCAATATTCTTTCAGTCTTCTCTCATAGGTCATGTTCTCTAGACCTTTAATCATTCTTGTTGCTCTTCTCTGAACCTTCTCCAATTTCTCCACATTTTTCTTGAAAAGTGATGCCCAGAACTGGACGCACTATGCTAATTGAGGCCTAATCAGCGCAGAGTAGAGCGGAAGAATGACTTCTCATGTCTTGCTTGTTAATGCATCCCAGAATCATGTTTGCTTTTTTTGCAAGTGTCACATTGTTGTCTCATAATTAGCTTGTGGTCCACTTTGACCC